CCTCTTACCAGGACATAAATGGTTTCACAAAGTTCCCTTACTCATAGTTTTAATATCATGTTCTTATATTCAAAGTTGCAAGAAACTGTAACATACTGCCTGTTCTTGGTCTTGTCTTTTCTTTGTAGTTTTGTAATTCGTCCAATTTTTCTCTATTGTTCGCACAGCATGTTTTTCCTGTAGACGCTCAGCCGCCTAAAACACAAAGTGTTGTTGAAATTTTATTTGGTCAGATGTACATTTATTGGGTAAAAATATTGTTAATTTTAAATATCATATCATGGTTTCCGTGTCTACATTTTTCTAAACTAATGGAATGCCTTGTTATATCAGAAAAAAGTTATTAGAGTTCAAAATTCAAACATTTGTAGATAATTTTTTAATCCAATTGTCCCTGGAACAATTTGCAGTATTTTAATTGCATACAACATAGTCAAAAGTCAATAGTCCTCACTACGTTTCAATCTGTCAACAAATTTGCAGGGTGGTTTTTTTTGTGCATTTATCTGGCTGTGACATTAAAATTCCTGTGAAATACAAGTGCTGAATATTAATGTTTCTTTCCTCTTTTGGACTAATCAGAAATAAACAAATTTTGAAGTTATTTGACAATCAAAGTTACAGTTTTTAAGATGGAATAGTATCCTTAAATGTAAGAGACTTTGTCAGAAAGAGCATGTACATGTTTGTTCAGCCATTTTTCCTATTATTAGCATGTCCCCAATATACTAAATGTAAACGATAAGAAATGAATAATGTCATTAGTGTTAATGGCACACATTACCAACTCGGGCATGCACAAGTTAAACACAAATGTTTAGTAGAGGAACATATTTGGTCAGTGTTGGTTACTCACTGTATGAGATACATACAATTGATCACTGAAGTAAAGTGACTTAGAGTAACTTCTGCACTGAGAAGCAGTACATGAAAAGACCAGGATTAATGGTCAAGGAAAACCTGGACAAAAGGAAAAACCTGGACAAAACTTTAATATAGCCAATATCATAAATGGTTCATATTTTAATACAATACTGAAAAGTCCTTACTGATATTGAACAATGCCTAAAAGGTTAACTAGTAGTTCTATCTAATCGGCAACAATTATTTGTTGATTTGTTATTTCAGAGAACAATTTAAATACAGAAATGTATCAAACATTTCAATTGCAAGCATTTTGATTCTGAATACATGTATCTTTGCTGATAGTGGTATTCTAACTGATAGGCATTAAATAAAGCTGAGAAAGATAAGCAAGCAATCTAAAGCTGAAATATCTCTGATCTATGGAATCAAATATTGAATTGTTTCAGTTTACTACAGGTACTTGAATCATTGCTATATGGTCTTTATTCATAACTCAGTAATATGTGACGTGATATTTATAAACTCGGTAAATATGTGACATGATAAAGGAAGAAAATATTGGCTATAATCCGTCAAGTTTTTAATTATGTAAATTCCCTGTCGTGGATTAAAGTTTTGTTCTGTGCAGATTAAAGGTCAAATATCACAATATTATTTTCACAGAACACTTCTGAATTAAGATTTCAACAAGTGAAAATTATTTATTTACACATTAAACAGTTTTGAATTAAGATTTCATCAAGTTACATACATTATTTTATTCAGTAAAAATACTTATGAAAACAGATTTCAACAGATTATATTCAATACATCTAATACATAATGCATTGAAATTTGTATTTTGACTTTAAATTAATTGAACTATTAACCAATATGATTATTACCTATAACCTATCATATTTCAAAAGTGTATCGCTAGTGATAACAAACATGCAACATGCTGCAGACAAATACCCCCATGCTCACAAAGGAAGCCACCATTTCTGTTCATGCAGGAATAGGACATTACAATCACACATAATATCAAATCCCTCAAAGCATATCACAATACATATAACAAAACCTGCCTTCAGTCTCCTTTCGTAATCTGCCTTCTCTTGCTATAAAAAAATGTGCACAACACGTTTCAGGATGGAGTTCGCTTTTTTCATCTCTTATCAATACATTTCAGTCAGTAAATTACATTTTGTTTTTATTTTGTTTATTTTGAAGGAACAACAAAATTGAACTTAAAAAGTAAAATTCTATGTATATAAGGTATTAGTATATCAGAAATGTTCTATAGATAAAGTTTAGTAGGTGTAAACTACATCAATATTGAGGTGATAAATTGTTGTCTTCTCTATATACTCCTCAATGTTTCTATTCACTGCTGTAAAGTTACAACATTTACGAGTCTAATTTTGATTTTATATACAATATAGCCAAGTTATCTTAGCATAAATCTACTGAAACAGTGAACTACTCTGACAATGTTCAGCACACTAATAAGTAAGCAGTCACACTGTGAAAGTTTCTCACCTCTTCTCTGTCAGACTGTTTCTTCTTCCATCCTTGTTGTATTTTGCGTGCAGCACTATCCTGTGCTGAATCGATGCTCTTTTTTCCGCTTCGACGGTCATCAGACATTGTGCTTTCCATAGACGCTCGTCGTCCAGAAGGGGGGCGACTGCTACACGACAAAACAACATGCCAACAGGTAACTAGTGATAAACATTGTATTCTATGGTATTCTATCTAACCGTTTTACAGTCAACTTCATTATATTAATTTATGATAGATATTAATTAAGATGTACATATACAAATCATAAAGAAACATTACTCGGACCCTGTAAAAAGCTGATTTTTGTTAACCTCAAACAGGTTTTTGGAGAAAATACAACCAGTGAAAAAAACAACTACCAATTATGTTTTAATGCGTATCAATAAATAAAACAAACAGTTTGACAGATTATGCAACATTTACATCTAGCCCTAACAAGGTATCACAGAAGTGGGGAAAATAAAGATGACATGAATACAAAATACACACGTTCTGGGAGTGGGCGATCGCCGGGCGGATATTACACCGCTGCCTCCTAGTTCTTCTTCTAGAACCTTTATATCTTTACTGAAAGAAAAGAAACAAGGATATTTTATAGACAAATAAACCCACAGCATCAATTTCTATTTCCAATGTGTCAACTATTGAATTTTTAGCTTTCTTAATACCAAATTGTGGTGGTTTTCTTTCAATCAATCAAATAAGCTGCAACAGCTAAGTCACCAAAATGAAACCCCTACGAAAATAACCTGCTTGTACGCATGACAATTAACACTTAAAGTCATATGATGTTTGATCTATTTCCAGAAATTAATGGTTGGGTGGAAGGGAACGCTAAAATAAAAACAAAGCGAGCAGAGGCTCACATCGATGTACCACCTTATATTGATAAGGTGGTATAAGACCGAGTCCCTGGCACCCCGATTTGCCTGATGACCACTAAAATCTAATCAGGTTTAGAACTCAATGTTACAATACCACGATGTTAATGTAGACTTAACTTGTCAAGAGGTTTGTGATCTCATACACAAGCTTTTTACTTCAAAAGTGGTAAAGTTAATCTTTGATCATGACCTTTTACCTTTTAACCTCGACTGACACCCCCAAAGTCTAATCAGATCTAGGCATATAACCATCCTATGGTGTAAAAAATAAAAATCTGAATGTGTTAGGGGTTAATGAGATATCTTTTTACTATGGGCGCATGCAAACACACATGCATTGACAAAGGGATTACTTTATACCTCCCCACAACCCTCCTAAGTGGGGGTATAATAACTGCTGAATACTATTTATGCATCCAAGGAAATTAAAATTCTGACATCAGTTTGACTTGATATGTATAAATTGGCATTTTTAACCACGTCTGATATCATAAAAAATAAGTATCAAGTGGTAGTGAAAATATTGTACAATAAACATTCCTTTGGTGCAAAATTTAAACAGTTGCAGAATTGGAATTTTTTGTGAAAGACTTATAAAATGATTTAATTCAATTCTATTAAATTCAATTATGTAAATAATAAAAATGTAGTCTATTATAACGAGGATATGCTAAGGGTGCATATGTATCACAGGTGAATTAGCAGTATATTTAAATGTTGAATAATGAAACCACACAATTGAGGTAATTAAATGTCACAAATATTTAAGTATGTCTCTTGGTGATTTTGTTGTTTAGATATCATGCGTAATGGCAATTTAATATAAGGTCTAAGACTCACTCCTTTTCTTCACAGCGTTTGCGATAGACTTTGAGACGCTTGATGGTGTCTGTCTGTTTATTGATAGTGTCCAACAACTCGGTTTCCCTCTTGTCCAATTGGTCTAGCCGCTCCTCCATACTTCCTTTAAGGGTGAGCTTCCCTATAATAGCCAGATGAATTTCGATTACTATCAAATTTTATATGTATAGAAAAAATCTCCTTTTACCGATCTTTATTATGAGAAACAAGTAAGGTTCATATTATGCATATTCCTAAGGAAATTGGCAACTGATTTTGTGAAAGTTTTCTGTAATGCTTTTTTTTTCTCAACAGAAAAAAACATCTCCATTTTTTTTATTTATTTATTTTTTTAAATACCCCGGTACATACATTTTTTCATTATTGATCCATCTCATTTCACAAATCAAAGAGTTAACCATGAAATCCCATGTAACAATAGTGATGTGGATATTGAGGTGATAGCATTACCTTTCTTTACATCAACTCTCTTCGCAGAATATAAGGATTCATCATCGTCGTCGTCATCGTCAACCCTCCTACTCTTTGACCTCTGAAGATGAATGATTTACAAAATTTTTGACACTGTTATATTAAATACAATTTACTTGTTTTGATCTTATT